TCACCACTCTGTGTGTGTGTGTGTGTGTGTGTGTGTGTGTGTGTGTGTGTGTGTGTGTGTGTGTGTGTGTGTGTGCGTGTGTTGGGATCTTAGTCTAGTGCCAAAAGACAAACATCATCAGAACATTCCACCAGACTACATTTCCCAGGATCTATATCTCATACTGACTCAACTTCCCAATAACAATGCACGTGAATTCCTGGAACGAGTTTCCCGTTTCCCCACCTCTTCAAATTCCATTTTGTAATGCGTCTGGAACAATATAGCTGAGGTAGTTACATGCACGATTGACCAACTGACCGACCAAACAATGATTTCAACAATAATTCTATTTTTAACTTTGTCTCGATTAAAGCTATTGTGACGCAGCATTTTATATACAAAAACATTTCGTCATTCCTCACTGGCAGTTCTCCAGAGACCCCGCCCTCACCTGCAGCCTCTCGATGATGTTCCTGTAATCTTTGGAAGTGGTGAGCGTCGAGTCTCTTCTGGACGTGTTGCGAGCTGACATCCTCCAATTGAGGATGGTTTTCTGAACCACATTGTTGGACTTCACAAACAGGTTGTTCACCTGGCTGTCCAAATCCACCGGGATTGCGATCGCTCTGCTCTTGGCTAAACAAGACAATTGAAAATACAAAGATTAAAATCACAATTCATAAATGGTGAAATCATTTCCTTACGCCTCTGGTTTTTATTTGAAACATACAACAGAGGCCGGAAGTAAAGATAAATTGAAATGGAGTTGTATGAGGTTCATTCCTCAAAGTCTGAATGGCCATGGTCAAAAACTTACCCACATCAGACAGAACCTTAATACAGCTCTCCGCTGAGGCTTTCTGGGCAGGAACGAGCCAGTTACAGTGGTAAACTCTGAAAACCCCCTGCAGGAGCTGTACAAACACAGGCTGCCGGGTCTGGAGAACAAGAAAGCAAAAACAACATGAGAGGAGAGAGAAAAGGATAGAGAGAGAGAGAGATTATATTAGAGAAAGACGAAAGGAGGAAAAACAAAAGAACTAATTATTAATAATAATGGAGAAGCTAAAAGGAAACTTCTGATGGACACCATCAAAAGATTCAGGTTTTTAAGTGAATGAAACATCTCTACATCATTTCTGGTTTCTATATCTTTCTGGTTTTTAATTTTGAAACAAAGCAGTATGGGGTTCCAGGTTCAATAGATGTTAAAGCATCAGACTCAAAAGTCTATATGTTGGTTAAAGTACTTTTGTTAATTATTACACACAAAAATGTGCATATTTGAGGGTTACATCCCTCAAAATTTAAAATTTTCCTTTAACTCTAATTTAACTAGTTTTGACTAAATGAACGCTTGGTTATATGTTGCCAACATAATTCCTGTAATTTTTTAAAGAAAAATATATTTTTATTAAGCAGGGATGTATTATATTAATCAAAAGTGACTGTAAAGACATGTATGGTGTTATAATAGATTTCCATTTCAAATAAATGCTGACATGAATCCTAAAAAAAAAAATTATATCACGGTTTTCACAAAAATATTAAGCAGAACAACATTGATCATAATATGATTATTTTTTTCTTGAGCAGCAAATCAGCATATTAGGATGATTTCTGAAGAATCATGTAGACTGGAGTAACGATGCTGACAATTCAGCTTCATCATTACAGGAATAAATTATATTGTAAAATATTAAATTAAATATATTCAAATAGAATATATATATATATATATATATATATATATATATATTTTTTTTTTTTATTTATTTTTTTTTATATAATGTAACATATAATTAATAAAATACAAATAATTAGTATTAAATAATTTATACAATCTTAGCTAATATTTATTTTAAAAGAAAATATTGGATATATTAATATTTATTTTAAATATAATATTTACATTTTTTAACCATGTGCAAATATTTTATATATTTTTTATAAATAAATATATGACTTAAGTGTAAAAATATTTCACAATATTACCATTTTTATAGAATTTTTAATTAAATAAATGCCTTGGTATTTCTTGGTATGCATTTCAAAAACATTACTGACCCCAAACATTTTAACTGTCTAACCTTAGTAAAGCTAGTAGAATTACTGCACATGCACTGCTATCAATAGAGATTAACTTGCATTAAACCTGACGCATGTCTCTAAAAACTTTGTATAAAAATGTATACAACCAAATTTGTGGACATTTTTCTATTTTTATTACAGATATATAGGTTAACAAAGTATGATGCATTAACACCTCAAGTGACAGAAACAACACATCTTACCACCAACACAATGGGTGAGAACCCAACAACACTCACAAGAAAAATGCGCAGAGCTAAGTGGAAGGATGACATGTTTACCACGCTACATTTGTGAGACTGGTTCAAATGCTTTCTGGACAACTAGACTAGTACGCACAAGGGGCTTAATTGTGAAAAAAGTCTGATCTAGTTTCCCACTCAAACACGATGCCTAGACAAGAGTCTAACCCAAACTACGTCACCACATTCCATGTGCAACCACTGTGAAGTCATTACAAATCTGTACCTCAGTAATTTTGCTTAAAATGGAGGCCTGTCACAACAAAGAGAGATGTGAGAGATCAGAGAAGGAAGCTGTCATGAAGCAACACTTCCAGGAAAGAATGAATGGGGTTTAGGGTCGATACACGACATAGTATTAGGAGGTACTTCCTACTTTACAACTGCAGACTAAAGTAATTATATATCATACATATATATCACATTTTTCTGTATCTGCACTAGTCAAAGTAAACCAGACATTTAAAATGCTACAAGGATTTTAATATGAAATAAAATTTCCATTCAAAGATTCTATTCAATCCGAATATCCTAAAAATCATGGTTAAGCAGAAACACTATTAAGCAGCAACTGTTTTCAACATTGATAACAGTAAGAAATCTTAAAAAGATTTCTGAAAAATCATGTGGCACGGAGGACTGAAGCAAAAATTTCCGCTTTGCCATCACAGGAATATATTACATTTTCATATGTTAAAATAGAAATCAATGCAGCCTTGCTGAGCAATAGTGACTTCTTTCAAGAACATAAAAATGGTAGTGTAAATATATATGTATATATACAGTAATATTAAAATATATAATAATATATAGAGATTATATGCTATGAATTACATCGAATTAGTAACTTTATAATTGTACCAAATTCTTAAATGATCATGTTTTCAATTTCTACGCTTATGCTTAATGCATTTTCTAAGAAATTATATTTAATGGCTATTTAATCCCTAATAAAATAAAGAAAACAAAGCCCATTATTGGAGACTCATTAATTCATGAGAATACATTTCTTTTTCTAATTACTCTTATATGCATTATTGCATTACTGTAATATCAAAATAATTGATACTACAGTATATCATTTAAATTGGATTTATTCATCATAGTAGTAGTTTTTTATCGAAAATTTGAGATGTAATAATGTCACAAAATGTCTGTCTTTATGCAAGATTCAACCCATTTTGACCTGTATAAACAAACAGTAAACTTTACTTTATAGTTACAAGCTATTTAAAACCAAACTAACTAAATCTCAGTACGTACAGATACAGTACCATTCATGTGATTTCTTTAACCTGCAGAAAGCAAAGTCAGACAGGCTACTTGGAAAGACGGTTAATAGTAAAAGACCAGGTTTTCCAAGAAAACTGTCAGTCTCCACAGCCACCAGCGCTCTACAAACATACAGTACACACGCTATGTGGAGTATCTGTGGAGCCCTAGTTTGTCACATTGCGAAATGGAGATGTGGGAAGTCTGTATGTGTTGATGTGCAAGAGCATGAGAGAAGAGAGTACTTGGAAAGCTCTGACCAGTGCGTCAGTCGCCAGTGGTCAGGCCGATTCTTAAGAAACCTGCAAGTGTGATGAAACCGCCTGAATTTCTATAGATCCTACGGGTCTCACAAAAGGCACTGGCAGGTTCGAGCTAGAGAAGGGGAGGGGCTTTTACAGATACTTACGTACATATGACGCGCCACCTGAGCGAGGAAGAGGTGAAAAGGGTTAAGATATTATCTGGAGGGTTCATTTTCCTATGTATAAAGATAACGGTGTATTTACTTCAAAGAAATCAATCCGCTGTAGAAACTGAAGAAGGTGGTAAACCAAAATTGAACTGAAACTGAGAATGACATATACTTAACTTGTGCAAATATCTCATGAATATTTCAGTATATAATGCTGTATTGGGGGTCATTACCTGTAAACTAGTGCTCTGGTCGGAGAAAGGGGAACTGAAAAATGTCGTCACAATACTCATCACGGTTTCTGTCACGTAGCGTTCTAACGTCATGTCAGCATGTTTGCGGTCACTTGTATTGTTGCAGACCTGTATGCAAAACAAGCATACAGAATAAACAGAATTATTGTGGCCTTGAGTCATTTGCTTCAGTAAGCACAGTCAGAACTTACACTGATTCAGCCCTTTCCTGCACCAAAAAAATAAAAAAAGTCAGATCAACTGCAGATGTCCAGGCATCATATAAATAAAACCCCATATCATACCACAAATAATGAATCACTCCTACTTCACTTTAAACAAAAAAACCCCACAGGCAATCAACAACAATTAGACAATGTTAGTTGCACACTGGCAAGCGACAAATTGGTACTTTTTGGTACTTTACATCGAAACGATTCATTGGGGTTGAGAAAAATCCCTGAATTGGCTTCCATTACCCTGCATATGTCAACCAGAAAGTTCTCAAAGAGCTTCCACATGTGGTTGCTGGTGTAGATCTCCTTCATTTCGACCTCTGTGTCCACGTAGCAATGGTTCAGGAAGTTGATATAAGCAATTTTGACCTAAAAAAAAAAAAGAACAGTATACACACAATATAAATACTAAAAATTTAATTAATTTAGATTTATTTAATTGTTATGTATTTAAATAATCTAACTGAATTACATTTCTAAAATATATAATTTAATAGTTTTTTTTATAAAAATGTAAATTAACTTAATTGAGGTTTTATGTAATAAAATCGAATTAATAAAAATTTAATTAAATTACAGTTTTATGAGTTGAAATAATGCAACTGCTTTAAAAAAAAAAAAAAAAAAAGATTTTTTTACAAAAATGATTTAAATTAAGTTTTATGTATAAAAATAGAATAATTTAAAAAATGTAAATAAATTACATTATTTATGTTCTATGCATGTAAAATATCTAATGGTATTAAAATAAAATAAAAAAAAACTAAATTAATTTTTAATTAAATTTGTATACATTAGAACAGAACTAATAAAAAATTTAATTACATTTATTTATTTAAGTTTTATGTATTAAAATAATCTAACTGAATGAATTACTGAATTAACTAACATGATTAATTAAATATATCTCCCATAACTACCGAATAAATAATTTTAGCTGCTTCTTATTACTTTAGACAATGTGTGTGTGTGGGGGGGGCGGGTTTGGCATTGAGTAAAAAAGGTTGAAATCTACTAATTTATGGAATATGTGTTGGAATGCGTTATGGAATTATGGAAAAGTGGAATATTCTTCCACTTACAGGAACAGACCATCTGACCAATGTAAAGCAACCAAGTGGAGTTTGTTTTGTTTAATGATACCACAGTATCACAATGTTGCAGAAAAAATGATGTGGCATGAAGCTGTAGACCACTGACCTCAGGGATGCAGTCTTTGTGCGTAACCACACGGACGATATCATCCAATGGCAGTAGGGAGTTGCACTTGATCTCGGTGTAGACGTTTTTGCCCTCCGTGCAGACAGCCAGCAGCTCCACCAGGTGGATGTGGTACATGAGGGCGCTGTTTTCATCCATCCGTTCACGCTCCGAACGCATCATCTGGACCAGAGTCTGGAAGGAGGCCCGGTCATTATAAAAGACCAGCACGTCCTCTCCAGAGTTCACCAACTGCAGAAAAATTTGATTCATGTTAAATCACAGTCACAATTACCAAAAGCAAACGTAACTTCAGCACATCAACCACCCACCTCGGCCATTACAATATCCTGGCATTTTTTGATAAATTTGTTCTCAGCCTTGACGATGGTCTGCAGGAACTTCAGGTACTGCACGTGTCTGCCGTGGGTCTCGATGCAGTGGACAAAATGCTGTACAACACGCTCGTTCATCTCACTGCACAGCTGAAAGTTGTTCATGAATATGTGCTGCATGGTGATGGCCTCTAGGATCTACAGATGACAAAAAAAAATCTGATATATGTAGATGAAATTACAGTTTACAAACAAACACTCTGAGGTGACTTCCTGGTTGTTCTAGCACACCAGAAAAGAGGTGATATAAATTAGAGCTTCATTCAAAATCGAGCAAGAAGTGGTGCATGTGTGATGCTGAAACACCACGTTTTACAAAGATTATTGTTTTCATTCACAAAGCAAAACCATTAGGACCAACACAAATTCAAAATGATCTAACAATGATTTATATGAACAAGAGCGCGACAGACATTCTAACAGGACTCTGTCCTGCCAAAGTTATTATTATTATTATTATTATAATTATTACACCACCAGTAAGCTCGTTTTGATATCTTTGATCATCATGAAGATATAGTTTTTGGCCTTTCCTCAACCCTGTTTAATATTAAATATGCACATTTTAAATATAATTGTTTTGAAAAATAAAATTTTGTATCCAAAAAGCAAAAGTAAATATATTTAGTTAATTAAAAGATTTGAAGTAGTGTCTCCAGGTCATTCATCAACCTTATAAAAATCATATTTATACATAGACAAAAAATATAAATAAATAAACGTGTGTATTCAACAACATATTACAGTACGACAAATTCATATATACATATACATATATATATATATATATATATACACACACATATATATCATTTATTTACTTATTTTTGATAATTTCTCATTTTAATGGTTTATATTTCCATCCCCTACAGTTATACATGTTAAACAAAATCTGATGTTCAAACCTCTATCCAATCATTAACTTTACAGTGAAAAGTGGCAGAAAACACTGTATGAACAAAGAGTAAAGAACATCAATTTGCTGTGAGGAGTCTGAGATCTAACATCCAAAAAATAAATAAATATGCTGTGGTGAATACCTAATAATAATATATGAAGAAATTTTAAATGAAATGTAATTGCATTTTATGACTAACCTAACAATACCCAAACAGCGTAATTACCACATCATGATGTCATGATGATGAACTCTGAATCATCATAATGATATTTTAAGATTTAAGATGTAGCAATATGGAAACCGAGAACATCCATCAGTGTCACCGCCCCGCACCTGACACTCATCCAGAGTGATGAAGCACAGCTACCCTGATGTGTGTGAGATGGAGAGCTCACCCCAGGGTTGAGGAACAGGTTGATGTGTTTGTGGAGCAGAGCCTGGTTCTGCTGGTTGCCTGTGCAGAAGTTCTGAAGAAACTCGTGAGCCAGTTTCATGATCTCTTGCATTCGGACATCCTCACCCTGCGAAAATGAACATGCACACTTTTTTTTTTTTTGGAGTGAGAAAATATTTATACCTGTTCATATCTTAAAGTAAACAAGTGATACTAAAAAAGATTTATAAAAAATAAAAAATTAAATACAACGTGGCTCGAATAGAATGCCTTCACAATAATGATTTTTAAGGAAAGTAATAACTAATAATACATCCATTATTGAGACATTTAATTCAGATAAATAACTGCTCTGAATGATTCACAAGTGTTTTTATTCACTAAAAAGAAAAAAACTCATAGAAGTCATTCATTCAAGAAATGGACTACACTGGATGAGTTGCATTTTTGATTCACTAAAAAGAATTAGACCATAAGAGTGATCCATTCAAGAATCAGACTATACTGGCAGAATTATTTGTTTTTAATCTATTAAAAATATCAGATCACAACAGTCATTCATTCATTCAAAAAAAAAAATTAGACTAAACTGGCCAATCTGCATGTTTTCGAATCACTGATTTAAAAACTGAAATACACTGGTTGCATTGCATGTTTTGATTCAGTAAAGAGAACCAGAAAATAAAGAGTCATATATTCAAGAAGCAGACTATTCTGGTCACAGTGGTTTTTGATTCACTAAAAAGAACTGATTCATAGGAGTGATTCAGTCAGGAATCACACTACACTGGGCACATGACATGTTTTTGATTCACTTGAAAGATTTGAATTTTAAGAGTCATTCACTCAAGAATCGAATAAACTGGTCGTGTTGCATATTTCTGATTCACTAAAAAGAACTGATTCATAGGAGAAATTCAGTCAGGAATCACACTACACTAGGCGCATTACATGTTTTTGATTCACTAAAAAGACCTGATTCATAGGAGTGATTCAGTCAGGAATCACACTACACTAGGCGCATTACATGTTTTTGATTCACTAAAAAGACCTGATTCATAGGAGTGATTCAGTCAGGAATCACACTACACTAGGCGCATTACATGTTTTTGATTCACTTGAAAGATGTGAATTTTAAGAGTCATTCATTCAAGAATCGAATAAACTGGTCGTGTTGCATATTTCTGATTCACTAAAAAGAACTGATTCATAGGAGTAATTCAGTCAGGAATCACACTACACTGGACACATTACATGTTTTTGATTCACTTGAAAGATGTGCATTTTAAGAGTCATTCATTCAAGAATCGAATAAACTGGTCATGTTGCATGTTTTTGATTCACTAAAAAGAACTGATTCATAGGAGTGACTCAGTCAGGAATCACACTACACTAGGCACATTACATGTTTTTGATTCACTTGAAAGATGTGAATTTTAAGAGTCATTCATTCAAGAATCGAATAAACTGGTCGTGTTGTATGTTTTTGATTCACTAAAAAGAACCGGATCATAGGAATCATTTATTCAGAAATCAGACTTCTCTGATGGAATTCAGAGTTGTGGAATTGCTGAATAGCAGGTATTTTAGTATAGTTTTCCACCCGCATCAGCTGAAGAATGAATATTCGAGAAGCATTAACACACCCATAAGTCATAAAAATAATTTTGCGAGTACCAAACTCATATACTGCACCTTCTCATAAGGGATCTGCAGCAGTTCAAGCACCACTGAATGAGCTCCCATGTTCCTCAACAGCCTCTGCTGCTGTTTCTTACTCTTCTTCCCTGATGGTCCTTCCTGTACACACAGTTTGCTGAGACGCAAGAGGATCTAGAGACAGAAAGACAAACAGATGATGAGCTGAAGAGGAGAAAACGGAGTGAATGAACACTGTTTATCAAAGCAGGTCAATCTGCAACAGCTGTTAACGCTGTTTCATGTGGTACTCATGCTCTAGTCGTACACTTCAGCACTGGTTAATTAGATCTTTTGTTAAAGAGGCTACATAATTAGCGTTGCTATTCTTTATAGTGCTTGGATGCATTAACTACTTCAGACATTCAACACTACCTCATAATGCTGAATGATCATGTGTGTGAAGTATGTGAATGACACTTTACCTCCTTCACATCTCTGTAATTGTCACTGCCATTTCCGTCTGTCTTTTTTTTGCCTGAACCAGAGTCCTTCTAAATAAAGAGAAGACACAGACTAAATAAAGCATGAATGTTGTATTCCATTCAAATAATAATGGCTATTATGTATGAACGACCGCCTCAGGAAAAAAAAAAAGGTAATTGTGAAATAAGGTTAAAAAAATAGAAAGCGAGACATAGAAGTGAGCTATAAGGTTTAAATTATGAGAAAAAAGGTAAAAATGATCCCTTTCTTTTTTTTCCACATATCTGATATATATGGGGCCTACGAAGTTTTTTGTTAGCAAACAAGCTAAAGTTCAGCTAAATTGTACATTGCTCACAAAAACATAATGATGTAATGTAAGCATCATACAAACTGACAATACATTAATATAGGCCAGATAGTAACTGGGGGTGTCTGTGAAGACCTCTGCCTTAAATAATAAATGTTGCCACCTTCTTTTTGTGGTCAGACTCTGCTGGGAGTCCATCTCCTGCATCCATGCCTTCATCACCCTGTCTCTTGTACACCCAGAGCTCAGATTTTTCCACATTAGATCGCAGCTGGTCAAGGTCTGATTTGATCTGCTTGTAGTTGTCAACATCCTGACTGGTCACTAGAAGTTGAACCTATAGTGAATAAGAAGGAGGGATGCATGAAGAATTAAAATGCAAACAAATGTATGCATTTAAACATCAACAGCCATAAACGGCCTAAAAATGTTCCATGTCAATACCATTCACTAAAGTAACTTACAAAGCCAATATCATTGTGTTAAATACCTGTTTGAAAGCCATGAGCACTTCTTGTCTCTGACTGAAGTGTCTGAAGAGCAAATGCAGCGCTCCAGACACGAGCGGTGGATAGTCGTGCATGGTGAGATGCAGCAGAACCCTCAAAAACGTTCTTCCGCCATGGTCATCAAGATCCAGAGGTGAGTTCTCCTCACTGAGTTCAGGAAAAAACTACGGTTACACACTTACGTGTGTACTCTTACAAAGATTCTTGCACCTTCTTATTCAAGAAGTGAATCCTTACCTTCCACCAAATATTCCTTCTGCTTGTTCTTCAATGTTCTCAAAGTCCAAAGCTGTGAAACACACAGAAACACTCACATAATCTGTAGAACAACTCACGGGTGATAGGGAGCGAGACACACTGCATACCTGGGATACTGTTGGGCCCATCTGCATTTGCAGCTGGCACTGCATCCGTTTGTGTGTTGCTCTCGTCAAACTCACGTTTGAAGATGCAGAGCAAGCAGGAGATCCTGTAGTCCAGTCGTACATTCAGAATAAACTGAACAACAAAAAACACAAGGTTTAGTGATTTACCAGATATAAATCCTATTATACCCTATATATGACTGTTTGGTAAAATAAAATAAAATAAAATAAAATAATGTATTAAAATATATTTTAAGCTAATTCAATTTTTCCATTTCATGTTTCCTTTTTAAATTATGGGTTTTTAATCACCTGTAGGATCTCTATGATCTTCAGTTTGGTGTCCATCACCAGAATGTCTTCCTTCTCTGGTTCTGTCTGGGTCTTCACCACATCACCATCTGGGGGGGTTGTGGGGGTTGTGGGTAAGAATCCGCCTCCTCTTAGGACCACCTGCGTCATCAGCTCCCCAACGCCATGGATGGATTTCATTACATTGCTACCTGTGAGAAACATAACCAACAAATTGTTAAACATTCTCAAATGAATCACATCTACCTGTACAAGTTTTAATGACTGTTTGAAAATCATTCAAAGGACCAACAAAGGATGTTGAGCTTGTACATCTAGAGACTCGAACTGTTATACTATGAGAAAAAGATTACTTTTGGACTCGTCTCCTTTTTCCATTTTGTTGACGGGATAGATGGTACTGACATGAACACAGTCCAAAATGGCCAACAAGATCTTGGTCAAACGCAACAAGTCACTGAAGTTGTAAAAGCCGAAGTAAATAAGGTTTCTTGCTAAATTCACAACCTTAGAAACACAAAAAGTAACAGAAGTGTTAGTCAAGTCCAAAACAACCCACATTCGTCACTCTAGCACATGTTGGACGTGTGACTTACCTCAAAAGTGAGTTTGTTTTTCTCTTTATCAGAGAAAGGAACATTTTGACAAACCACATCTCTGAGGTAGTTCTCCACAAAATCCATAGTAAGCGCAAAGCGCTCTTTTATCTCATCTCTACTGGTTCCATCGTTATCATAACTAAAATCAAAATACAACATTAAATACACTGGGTGGAGACAAAAAATACTACAGAAACCTACAAATAGAAGAACATAGTTTAAAAACACTTCAACGTACTCATCAATAGCGATTTTGGATGGGATCTCAGACCACAGCCTGGCGTATTTCACAGGCATGACCTGTTCCTGCGGGTCACGGTCTACATGCATGTGAAGCATCAGTCGGCAGAAAGAGGCACGGAGGTCATAGGGCAGGTATTCATCTGACATGCAGCGCAGGATCAGGTCCACATCCAGCTGGCCTGATATCTTCTCAATGGCCAAGTACTGGCGGTCCAAACACATCCGTGCAAACAGGTTCAGCTGGTATCTGAGAAAGGATATGAGCCAGGAGACCATGTTACTGAGAGAACTGATGTTTTGACTTGTTTTTATACCATTTTGGACTTGAAAACATTTAATCATCATGTCAGCTATTGGGTTTTGCCCTGATAAACTTTGACCCTTGGCTTATTTCCTGTTGGCTGACCTGTAGTAGCTAATGACCTCCTGGTCCTCTTTCTGGCCTTCTTTAGCATCCAGTGCCAGCTCTCTGATGCTCTTACTCTTGATCTCCTTACCACTGTTCTTCCAAAACAACCACACCTCCTCCTCATCCTCCTCTGACTCCACAGGACCCTCTCCAGACTCGACCTCAAACCGAGACAACACCAGCCTGGGACCAGACAGAGAAATAAAGACTTCAAATGGAACCAGCAACAAACAACTCATTATATCCTAGCATGACAAACAGGCAAAAATAATTAGGAACATTTTGTAAATCTACAATGTGTCAGTGTTTATTTTCAAGATGTTTTTCTTCTTTGAAAACATATTTTTATCATGTGAAGCCTATTAAATGCTCTTAGCCATACAGACAGAGACAGATAATGCCCATCACTGCATTAATTTACTTAAAGGAGGTCACTCGCATTTCAGAGCATTCCTTTTACTTTTCAAATGTGCCACTTAAAACAAACAAACAAATAAGTAAACGCATTTATTAATATTAATTCCTAGTGTTCAAAAGTTTGGGTTCAGTAAATAAAGAAAGAAAGAAATACTTTAATAGAAATTAATATTCAGATGCATTAAATTGATCAAAAGTGAAAGTAAAGACATTTATAATGTTACAAGATATTCTTTTTCAAATAAATGCTGTTTTCTCTTAACTTTCTACAAAAACATTAAACAACTGTTTTTATCATTGATAATAAGAAATGTTTCTTGTGCAGCAAATCAGCATATTAGAATGATTTCTGAAGGATCATGTGACACTGAAGACTGGAGTAATGATGCTGAAAATTCAGCTTTGCATCACAGGAATAGATTACATTTGAAAGCATATTCAAATAGAAAACAATTCTTTTAAATTGTAATATTATTTTAAAATATTACTGTTTTTACTGTATTTTGGATCAAATTAAATGGATCCTGAGACCTAAAAAGTAAAAAAAAAAATCTTACCGGCCACAAACTTTTGAAAGGTTGTTTATACTAACATTAAATAAAAATAATAATGAAATAATTAAAACTAATCTTAGCATCTAATAATTAACTACATAAAGCAATATTGTCACTAAACTCATATTTAATGTAGTGTGAGTCACATTCTCTTTTATGCTCTTTTGTTTTGTTCATGGTTTTCAAAGTCAAACGCAACAAGTCACTGAAGTTGTAAAAGCCGAAGTAAATAAGGTTTCTTGCTAAATTCACAACCTTAGAAACACAAAAAGTAACAGAAGTGTTAGTCAAGTCCAAAACAACCCACATTCGTCACTCTAGCACATGTTGGACGTGTGACTTACCTCAAAAGTGAGTTTGTTTTTCTCTTTATCAGAGAAAGGAACATTTTGACAAACCACATCTCTGAGGTAGTTCTCCACAAAATCCATAGTAAGCGCAAAGCGCTCTTTTATCTCATCTCTACTGGTTCCATCGTTATCATAACTAAAATCAAAATACAACATTAAATACACTGGGTGGAGACAAAAAATACTACAGAAACCTACAAATAGAAGAACATAGTTTAAAAACACTTCAACGTACTCATCAATAGCGATTTTGGATGGGATCTCAGACCACAGCCTGGCGTATTTCACAGGCATGACCTGTTCCTGCGGGTCACGGTCTACATGCATGTGAAGCATCAGTCGGCAGAAAGAGGCACGGAGGTCATAGGGCAGGTATTCATCTGACATGCAGCGCAGGATCAGGTCCACATCCAGCTGGCCTGATATCTTCTCAATGGCCAAGTACTGGCGGTCCAAACACATCCGTGCAAACAGGTTCAGCTGGTATCTGAGAAAGGATATGAGCCAGGAGACCATGTTACTGAGAGAACTGATGTTTTGACTTGTTTTTATACCATTTTGGACTTGAAAACATTTAATCATCATGTCAGCTATTGGGTTTTGCCCTGATAAACTTTGACCCTTGGCTTATTTCCTGTTGGCTGACCTGTAGTAGCTAATGACCTCCTGGTCCTCTTTCTGGCCTTCTTTAGCATCCAGTGCCAGCTCTCTGATGCTCTTACTCTTGATCTCCTTACCACTGTTCTTCCAAAACAACCACACCTCCTCCTCATCCTCCTCTGACTCCACAGGACCCTCTCCAGACTCGACCTCAAACCGAGACAACACCAGCCTGGGACCAGACAGAGAAATAAAGACTTCAAATGGAACCAGCAACAAACAACTCATTATATCCTAGCATGACAAACAGGCAAAAATAATTAGGAACATTTTGTAAATCTACAATGTGTCAGTGTTTATTTTCAAGATGTTTTTCTTCTTTGAAAACATATTTTTATCATGTGAAGCCTATTAAATGCTCTTAGCCATACAGACAGAGACAGATAATGCCCATCACTGCATTAATTTACTTAAAGGAGGTCACTCGCATTTCAGAGCATTCCTTTTACTTTTCAAATGTGCCACTTAAAACAAACAAACAAATAAGTAAACGCATTTATTAATATTAATTCCTAGTGTTCAAAAGTTTGGGTTCAGTAAATAAAGAAAGAAAGAAATACTTTAATAGAAATTAATATTCAGATGCATTAAATTGATCAAAAGTGAAAGTAAAGACATTTATAATGTTACAAGATATTCTTTTTCAAATAAATGCTGTTTTCTCTTAACTTTCTACAAAAACATTAAACAACTGTTTTTATCATTGATAATAAGAAATGTTTCTTGTGCAGCAAATCAGCATATTAGAATGATTTCTGAAGGATCATGTGACACTGAAGACTGGAGTAATGATGCTGAAAATTCAGCTTTGCATCACAGGAATAGATTACATTTGAAAGCATATTCAAATAGAAAACAATTCTTTTAAATTGTAATATTATTTTAAAATATTACTGTTTTTACTGTATTTTGGATCAAATTAAATGGATCCTGAGACCTAAAAAGTAAAAAAAAAAATCTTACCGGCCACAAACTTTTGAAAGGTTGTTTATACTAACATTAAATAAAAATAATAATGAAATAATTAAAACTAATCTTAGCATCTAATAATTAACTACATAAAGCAATATTGTCACTAAACTCATATTTAATGTAGTGTGAGTCACATTCTCTTTTATGCTCTTTTGTTTTGTTCATGGTTTTCAAACATGTCTCACTTGGTCTCTATAAGGATGTCAGCATTGGCGGGATTCAGCACCGCATTACAGATCAGCTCCTGAGTCACCGGGATGGACTTGTTCATGGACACACACAGATCGGACAGGTAGTCCAAAAACCTAAACATAAACAGCACATGGATACATGTCAGACTTCTATCTCTCTTTCTTGGCACTTATATACAGTGAGCAAAAAGTTTTGGTATTGCTCTCAAACTTTTGGAAAAGCTCTTTTGTCTTTGCAGTACACTCTCTCCCACCTTGGTTCACGGTTTTTCCTCACAAGGCTGACAAACGTGTCAATTTCTGCCGCCGTGATGTGCTTCTCCAAGAGTTTGCGGTTGTTGTGGAGGAGAGCCGTTATTGTGTCTTCGGCCAACACGTCGTAGCCGATCTGTTTCTGCATGAAGCGGAACTGCTTGGCAATGTATTCCTGGACAAAGGGCACAAAGAGACAAAGTGACTCATTCTGTACTTTCATTCACCAGACCTGCCACCCATTCTCTTATAGAACCAGTTTTGATAAACAAAAATAACAAATAAAATAAACACATTTACATGAGGATAAAGGATGAATCCATAAAAAAATTGTAAGGATGGTATTGTAGCGTCTGGACCAATCAGACACCATTTTTCATTTGATTTAACAAATCAATTATTCATTAGATTAACAAATCGTCACAGTCCCCTAGGTCTATGAGGTTGAAGGTTGAACCAGAGATGCTCCGATGTCGGCTTGTGTTTCGGCAGACCAACCTGGTTCTTCCTGTAGTCCTGCTGTGAATGTCGCAGCACACGGTAACACAACCTGCAGATGTGCCTGAAGGGTGCGTGTCTCTGGTCACTCAGCTCCTCCAGACGCAACATGGGCCCATCACCACCGTCTGTGAATGGGGCCTGAAGCAGCTTGAAGATCTGTTGATGGAGAAAGTAAAGAGACTGGAATGAATACTACAACTGGTGTATCTACACTCTTAAATATAAGCGTTCTTTATTGGGATCAATGAAATATAAGTGTTCTTTATTGGGATCTATGGTTGTTCCATGAAGAATGGTCACCATGCTTGGAAGCTTTCCATTGCACAGAATGTTCTGTATAGTAGAAAAAGGTTCTTCAGATTATTTAAATATTTTTAACACTAAGAAAAATATTTTCTTTTAAGAACTGTTCGCTGAAAAGTTCTTTGTAGAACCAAAAATGGTTCTTCTGTGGCATCATTGTGGAAAAACCTCTTTTGGAACCTTAATTTTTAAAACTGTATTCCATCCAGTTATGGTTTATGGAAAAAAAATCATTCTGACCAAAAAAGTTAAAGGGGTCCTATTATGCTCTTTTACAAAGTCTTGATTTTGTTTTGGGGGTGTACTAGAACATGCTCTCATGCTTGGTGGTTCGAAAAACGCATTATTTACATTATTAAAATACCTTTCTCCCCAGGAAGGCACAAACGTCTCGATTAGTTCCGGTTTTTCTTCCGAAAAACAAAATGTGTTGTGAACAGCGGTGTTTCAGTACTGCCACGCCCCCTTGCGCCGTCTTTCAAACAAAAGCTTTTGGGAATCTGGCACTTCTCACTCGTGATGTGAAAGCTGTCCTCAGTAAACTGCGCAGCATACAAAATCAAATTGGGGTTATAATGCTCAGGAACAGAGTTAAAAAGTAAATTGCAACCACTGTTTTCTGACATCATCCACTTTCGGAAGCCCAAACAAAGACGTTTGGGCAAGGAGGTGAAAAAAACAACGTTTCAGGCAGTCGCGCCACATCTTTAAAATTCAAATACATTATTTTCTATGAGTGTAGGCACACCGGCGGTGCCATTCGGCGTCTGTCCGCGGCGCCCAGCTACGTCGTGTTATACTTGTAAGAATTGTTCTAGAGCAGCGGTTCTCAATCCCAGTCCTCGCGCACCCACTCTGCATGGTTTTGCACGTCTCTCTTTGTTAACACACCTGATTCAGATCATCTCGTTAGAAGTGAGCTCCGTGCATGAACTGTGTTCCGATTGGCATGGTCCCTACACAGTGTCCATTGCTCCCTACTCCCTGAGCAGGGGAAATCCGTTGAAGTTTACTTCACTTCGGAATATTCATTTACAGATTTGCGCTACCCCGCTGCCTGCAGCGTCTTCACACACATACGAAACTTACTAGAGAAGCGTGAAGTGGGACATAATATACCTCTGTAAATAAATACAATTTAAATTCACGTCTCGCACACTTAAATGCCCTTTGTATGGAACATATACGCTCCCTTCAAACTGGAATCATGGAGGAATATCCGGTAATGTCCACTTCGCAGGGAACTTACAGTCAAATATAACAAACGTATGAAGCAATAAGAGAAACACGAGGACTGGAATTGAGAACCGCTGTTCTAGACATGCTAAAAATTTGACGCTACAGCACAGCAACTCTTTTCTTGGTTTTCTCTGACGCACTAACTCTTTAAGAGGTTTAATTTAGCAATTACATAACAAAAGACTTTTCTGAGGAAACATGGTTGCAGATGTTCTAAAAAAAAAAATAATACCGTATTGACCCAAATATAAGACAATGTTTTTTTTCTTGGAAATACATCTGAAAAAACGCGGTTGTCTTATATTCAGGGTCTA